GTGGTGCTGGGGATCAAACCGCGGTCCCTGTGCTTTGCCAAGCTTGTTCCAAGTAGGTGCTTTAGACCACTGAGCCATCTCTCCAGCCCAGGGAAGTACTTATTCTACTGAGCCATCTCTCCGGCCCCAGAAAAAAAATTTTTATTTTATTTATTTATTTTCCTTTCTTTCTTTCTTTTTTTCAGAAAAAAATTTTTAAAAGAGCTAAGAATGTATGCATGTCACCTTAAAGGCCCTGAGTTTAATCTTTAGTACTGCAAAAAATAAATAAAAGGATTAAAGCACCTGCAAGCAGGCTCAGGGGTTGGGGGTTCAATCCCCAGGCCTGCTATGCCAGCCCTGCCCTCAGGGCACGCTGAGATGACAATTGAGACTGGGCATGGTGACGCATACCTGTAATCCCAACTCTTGGGAGGCTATAAACAGGAGAATCAATATGAGTCCAATCTAGTAATGAGACTCTGAACACCCTGTAGACCCTTCCCTAAAATACAAAAATAAATAAATAGGAAAAAAGAAAAGAGAAGGGCCGGTGAGATAGCTCAGGGGACTAAGCACTGCCTTGGCAAGCACAGGGACCAGGGTTCGATCCTGGTCCCGCCTGCCGTGCCCCTGGGGCGTGCCAAGCTGGTGACCAAGTCCAGGCATGGTGGCACACGCCTGAAATTCCAATGCTGGGAAGGCTAAAAACAGGAGGATCACTATGAGTCTGAGCTGCATAGTGAGACCCTGTACCAAATGCATAAATGAAAGAAAAATAAAAAAATAAAAAGGGATCTGGCACCCTAACTAGTTAGGGACCTTACTTAGGGCCTTGTTACCTTCCAAGTCTTCAGGTGGTAAACAGGGTCTCTAGTCAGGTTTCCCACTTAAAGGGTGGTGTGAAGGGTCTAACAGAAGAGAGCTCACAGTGAAGGAAACCAAGGCCCAGAGTTAGGGGCACGGCAGGGCCTGACTGGACACCATCGCGTCCTGTTTAGTTTGGTGTGCTGGCAGTCAAGGGGCTGAGGCCAGGCAGAGGTGAACCCTGTCCTGAGGGTAGCACACTGGCCTGTGTCAAGCTGGGTGGCGAGGGCTGAGGGATTCTCCTGAGTGCTGCCAGAGCTACTTAGGATGTGGGGCAGCAGTCAGGGAGCTCTGCTCAGGTACCATATGGGGAGGCCTTCCTAGCAGGGGTGGGGACAGTGCCTCTCTGCTACTCACTTGCCTCCCTTCCCACTCGGTCTTCAGCCTGCCCCTCTTGTTATCTCCTAGCTGCAACAGTTCCTGCCTGGCTGGCTTCTATGGTAGCAACTGCTCCCTGCCCTGCCAGTGTTCAGATGGACTCTGCGACACTGTGTCTGGAGCCTGCCTCTGGGGTAAGGTGTAGCCAACTGCAGGCTGCAATAACCACTGAAATTCTGGTCCTTCCACAGGCCCCAGGGGCGCCACTTGCTGAGGGCAGGGCTCTCCAGGCCTGCTTTAGAGACTTCTCCAGGGCTGAAATCTGTGGGATCCCTGAAGATGTGACAAAGCCCCTGCCATCTAAGAAAGCAAGGAGGGGTGGGAAGTGATCATGCAGAAATGGACTCTACTGTGGCCTAAGAAGCAGGACAGGAGCTTGTAGCATGGGCTCTTGCACCATCAGAGGGGCTGCCTAGATGAAGGGGAGAGACCCACAGGTTGGAGGAGGCAGCTCAGAGCTGAAGACAGCTGTGGGAGTAGGGGGGAGCACTGGGAGGCCCTGACTATCTGGCATCTCCTGTACCCCCAGGCCATCACAGTAAGGAGGCTTTCCTCATTCCGGCCATCCTTGGGCCTCTGCTGCTGCTCCTCCTGGGCCTCGCCTGCTGTGCCTGCTGCTGCTGCACCGCTCCACGGGAGCCTAAGGACAGGTGAACACTGGCTGGTCTCTTCAGGGGTAGGAAAGGGCTGACCTTGCCACACACTTGGGTCAAAGATAGTGGTGAGAGTTGGTGGTGCCCATGGCCTGGAGACACCAGGTCAGCCACCTGCCTGCCTTAGAAGCTGTGACATGGAAGTTTCTGAGATATGTGGGCATTACTTGGGGTGCTGAGCACTGGACATGCAGCATGAGGCCGGAAGCTCACTGTCAGGGACCTACAAGACAGGCAAAGAACACAGAAATAGCAGCACAACTCTAGGGTGAAGAAGAGACTAAACCTCACTTGTCCTAGAAAGGCTAGGCATGGTGGTAGATGCCTGTAATTCCAGCAGGATGGGACACTGAGGCAAGTGGACTGCAAGTTTGAACCCATTCTGGACAATTTTAACAATTTAGTAAGACACTATTACAAAATGTTTTAAAAAGGCAAAAAAGGCTGGGGTTGTAGCTCTATGTAAAGATCCTTGCTTCAAAAAAGAGTTCATAGAGTGACTCAGCAGATCATGTGGCTTTTGGGGAGACAAGAGGGAAGACGGGCCAGAGGGGCTCCCTGGGGAATTATGCTCACACCCTGCTCTGTTCTATCCAAAACCTCCTACACCCCTGAAGCCCGAGGGGACCCAGCGAGTCATGGCTGCACAAAGCCCTGCTCACTCTCTTGGATGCCTGTCCAGGGTTGGTTGCTCATCCACTGCTTGCTTGCCTCCTTCTTCCTTTCCTATCAGGAATTGAACTGAGGGCGTCACGCTTGCATCCCCGCCTGCTCTAATGCTCTCTTTTAGTTCATGCACTGATCCTTGGGCTTTTCCTCTGTTGCCAGGCCTCCACACATTCACCAGTCCTGTTTCCCTCCCTGTGGCAGAACCTGCTGGGTGGGAAGAAGCACCTCACAGGGAGATGAGGACATGTACAAAAGCCAAGTGGAGGGGCCAGGGAGATGGCTTAGTATAATAAGCACTTGCCTGGCAAGTGCAAGGGTCTGAGTTCAATCCCTGGTTCCGCAAAAAAAAAAAAAAAAAAAAGCCAAGTGGAGCGGCCCCAGCTTGAGACTGGTGGATGGGGGCGGGGATGAGGGCTTCTAGGGCTCACTCACATGAGCATCACAGGGAGCTGTGTTTGGGAACCCTCACCAGGTGCCTTGTGATGTACCAGGTCCTGCAGGAAACTCTAGCAGATAGGACTATTCTCCCTATTTTATATGATTAACTTTTTTTTTTTTGGTGGAACCTGGGATTGAACTCAGGGCCTTGCTCTTGCCAGGCAAGTGTTTATTCTACTGAGCCATTTCCCGGCCCCCTCTCCCTATTTTATAGATGAGGAAACTAAGGTCCAGGGGAGTTCAATCTGAGCCAGGGTTGCTGTGCCTTGGTCTATCTGACTCTATAACCGTGCTGCCTTCTATGATTTATACTCAGGGCTCAGTTGCTTGGATCTCATTCTTTGCACTATAGAGTTATGGAAGTAGATATAGTCACCCTGCCATGCCCTGCCACGGTAATACAAGTCACCTTGGGGCTGGGGAGATGGCTCAGTGGAATAAGTGCCTCCCTCGCAAGCGCAAGGGCCTGAGTTCAATCCCCGGTTCCACAAGAAAAGAGAAAAGAAAAAAGAAAAAAAAAGAAAGACTAAAGGTAATACAAGTCACCTTGAGGCTTGGGTACTGAACACATCCCATGTCATCCTCTCAGGCCTGCGAGGGGTGGAACCACCTTGTCCAGGATGAAGCAGCAGGTCTGGGGGGCACTGAGCAGCCTGGGCTCTGTACTGCCATGTGGCTCCCTCAGTGGCTACAAGCTTCCCTGGGTGACAGGTAAGTGGGCCCTGGGCTCAGGGGCTGGTGGGACAAGGCTTCCCATCAGACTCTGTGCCTGACCTGGAGCCCCAACAGTCTCCCACCACGACCCAGAGGCCCCCTTCAACCCCAGCTTCATCGAGCAGCCCTCTGCTGGTTGGGCTTCCGAGGACTCCTTCTCTTCTGATTCGGAATCTGGAACTGAACATGAGGATCGTGCCTACTGTATGTCATCCCCAAAAGGTATCCCCGACCAGCCCACGCATGAGTACCCCCACCCACCACATCCTCTTCCATATTCCTTCAACAAGCATGTGTCCAGCAGGGCCAGTCCCTGTCCTATCTCTGGGGACACAGTAAAGAACAAAACAGAGCTAGCCACTGTGGCAAATACCAACAATCCCAGCACTGTAGGAAGCTGAGTCAGGAGGATGCAAGTTTGAACCCAACCTGGGCAATATATTAACTTGGAGAGACCCTGTCTTAAAAAATCTAGGGATATTTTTTGGCTCAGCACAAAGACCCTGGGTTCAAAAACAGACTCCTATCCTCACCAAGCTTGTAGTCTGATGGGCAATAATGAGATAAGTCACCAGGAAGTTACAGGATAGAATGATTTGACAAGGACACTAAAGAGGGACTCAATCTAGTCATGGCAGTGGCCACTGTCCGAGTTAAGAGCTATGCCAAGCCCAGCAGAATCAGTCAGTAATAGCAGAGTGAACGTAGAAAGTGGGGACAGTGTTTCAGCTGAAGGGGGCAGCATGTGTCTCAGGATTCTGGAATGTGGCAAGGTTATCAGGCTGTGGCTCAGAGCGGGGTGGGACAGTGAGAAGAGTGACAAGGAAGTGTGGCCGCTCACTCCGCCCTTCCTGGCCTGTCTGCGTGCTGGCTCTCCCTGGCTTATACTCCAGGCCTCCCCAGGATGTGGAGCTGCATGTGGGCTGCACTGGAGTGGCCAGACCTAGCTGCAGCCAAGCTCTTTTCTCTTCTGCCAGGGATGGTTCCTGTGGCCCAAGAGTCGTCAGAGGCCACCTTCCCTCCCCCTGAGGACACCTCCACGCCGTTCCCTATCCCAAGAACCTCTAGTTTAGCCCGGGCCAAGCGGCCCTCGGTCTCCTTTGCTGAAGGCACCAAGTTTGTGTCACAGAATGGCCGAAGCTCGGGGGAACTCTCCAGCCCAATCCGAAAATCCAAGAGGCTCTCAAGAGGGGCCCAGCCAGGTGCTGAGGGCCGGGAGACTGAGGAGTCCACAAGCCTGGAGCAAGCCAAAGTGGAGAAGCCCCCTGCTGCTGCTGCCGCGGCCAAAACCAGCAATTCTGCCAATGGCCACCAATTCCCTCAAGGTGGCCAGAAAGTGGCTGAGCCTGGAGAAACCACTGAGGGCAATGTCCAAGAGAGCTCAGATTCTGTGGCTTCAATCTACATGCTGGCAGGGATGCCCGAGAAATCTGAGAGCCCTGTCCGGTCTGTTCTCCGCCGTTTGGGTAACTTGCAAAAAGGTCAAGCAGAACCTAAGGTCAAGAGTGCCATCCCTAAGCCCCCACGCCGAGCTCTAGGCCAGAAGAAGGCAGAAGCCTCCGGCTCTGGCAGCCAGAGCTCTGTTCTTAATGCCAACCTTGTGGAGCCCACAGAATCTGCAGGAGTTAGGCTGGAGGAGGTGTCCAGGGAGCTGGGGGATGGCAAGGAGAGCCCAAGGAGGGCTCAGGAGCCAGTCTCCAGCAGCAGCCTCCAAGAACAAAATCCCCAGATGCAGGCGGAAGAGGAAGAGGAGCCCCTGTATGAGAATCTGCACACATCTGGGCGACCAGAGTCTTGAAGACCTTGGACTTGGGGAGTGGGAAGAATACGGATGGGGTGGGGATGGGAGGACATCAGAATCTCTGCCATAAATCAGTTGTGCTTTTTGCTGGAAATTTTTCCTAGAGCCAGGGTATGCACACCAGAGCCTCTGCACTGGAACAGGCGAGGGGCAGAGGCCAGCTGGCCCTGGGCCCTGGCATCGGCCCGGGAGAAGGTCTGGAGCGTAGCCAGGCATCCTGCAGGAAGTGGTCAGGAAGAGGGAAAAGATGCTATAGGGACTTTTTGTTGGTTGCCCTGGATTTTGCCCCCAAAGACTATTCTTCTGTTTATTTGCCAAATGTTTTTCTGAAATGGGAAACAACCTAAATGTTTGATGATAAAAGATTGGTTCAACAGAAACTTCTTATGAGTTACTGTACAACTAAAAATCCTGTTGTACAAAAAATATTTAATATGAGAGAATGTTCATGCAATGCTATGTGTGTAAAAACTGACTTAGCGTCGCCGGAACATAGCACAGTTCCATTGTTTGTGGTTGTTTCAGTGCTAGAGATGGAACTTAAGCGAGGCACTTGCTCCTCTGCTGAGCTCTATCATCAATGTGCCTTCCTTCCTTCCTTCCTTCCTTCCTTCCTTCCTTCCCTCTTTCCTTCCTTATTTCAAGAGAGTCTTGCTATGTGATTCAGGCTGACTTTGAACTCACCTGTGTAACCCAAACTGGCTTTGAACTGGCACCTCAGCAACCTGAGAACCACCATGCCAGGTTCCAGACTTTCTTTAACTTTGTTTTTAGTTTTTTTGTTGACATGGAGTTTGTTATGTAGCTCAAGCTGGCCTGAACTCACTTCGTAGCCCAGGCTGGCCTTGAACTTTGAATCCTCCTGCCTCAGCCTCCTGAGTGCTGGGATTCCAGGCCTGTACCACCACACCTCACTCACATTTTGGGTACACATGTGAATATGTGTTTTTTAAAAAGGCACACTAAGCATATTAGGCTAGAACTTACTTTGCGTTTTTTTCTCTCCCTTTTTTGGAGAATGGGGAGCGAACCACAAGTCTCAAGTATGCTAAGCATGCATTCTACCTGAGCTACATTCCCAGCTCTGCAACTTGCTTTCTTAGTAATTTATCCAGATATCTTTTGATGTCAGTAATGATAAAGCTACCTCTTTTCATAAAATATGACGAGTAAGGCTGGGGATGTGACTCAGCAGTAAAGTGCTTGCTTAGTGTGTGTGAGGTCCTGGGTTTGGTCCTCAGCAGTGGCGGGGCGGGCTGAGGAGGTGGGATTCCATTATATGGAAATAACAGTTTATTGAAACCTCCCTGCCAATGGATAGTTCTAATTATTCTAATACAATAAACTATGCTGTAGTCTACAACTACCTTTGTACATAGTTTGTTTGTTTTTTGCAGTGTTGAGAACTGGACCCAGGGTCTTGTGCATGCTAGGCTAGCACTTTACCCCTGACCTACACCCCAACCCTCTATATATTTCTTTTTGGACTTATGCAAGTTTTTCTACAGAATAGATTGCTAGGTCTTAATTATAGGATAAGAACATTAGACATTTCTGTACTTTAAATTGCCTTCCAAAATGTTGTATGGTTTTGTATACTCAACAAAGTACCCATTTACCGACACCCAATCTGACAAGTTGAAAATGGCAACTCATTATTTTAGCACACATATGAAAAAAAAAGCTGAACCTAGTTAAAATCCTTATGCAATGAAAAAAGTTTAAATTTTTTTTTCAAATTGAATAATTTATTAACATGGCAGTTGTCTGTAACATGTGCACACACACTCGCACACTCAGAATGATCTGCCTGGGAAAAAAGACTATGCCTAAGGGGAAGATGAAAAACAAAATTTTCTACAGGTTTCCATTATTGTATGCAATTATGTCCACATCACTTATGAAGCTATTGCCACATCTGTCCAAGGAAGCAGTGTGTGTGTGGGGGGGGGGTGTCGGGGTCATCTTGGGGAAAACTCAACAGTGGCATAGCAGAGCTCGCAATATGAGAAAGCTGACCTAATGTGGACTTTTGCTCTGAGTTTTTTCTTTTGCAAAATATGGGGAGAGGTTTATAATTGGCAGAAAATAAGAGAAGGCGGTAGGAAGTAGGCTTTTGCAGTCAATTTTCCTCACAGTATTGTGCAGGATCATTGAGAGAAATGCTTAGTCTTTCTCTGGAACCAGTTTCAGAACTTTTCCAATTGCAATGGTTTTACCTGGGGATTGAACATGCATCCCAAATGACAGAGGTTATTAGGATCACAGACTATAAATCCTGGAAGAATCTCTTCCTCTTCTATTCCTTTCAGCCTGATTTTGAGGTTTTCACCTGGGGCTACAGAATCTGTTTCTTTTCTTTTTTTTTTTTTTCCCCTCCGAATGCCTTCAGGGCAGGTTTGGCTGGCTCGAGTTGTGGGGATCAACCACAGCAACCTGAGCCTGACTGCTTTGTTGAAGCAGCCACTTAAAGAACTGAGCTTCAGGGCAGGCCCCCTAGAATCTGTTTCTACATCATCAGAAAGCATTCCAAGGACTTCCACTTTGTGCTTGTTTGGCATTATCACAGGCTGCTGGCCTTTACAAATAGATCCTGATTCCAGCTTTCCCAGGACCACAGCGCTCATATCCTTGTACTTATCACAACTGGCAGCCTGACTGTCCATCAACTGATCTACTGAAGTTTGGCAAGTTATCCAGATATGGAATAAATGGTAATCCAATGTACCAAGGGCAGAAATCAGATTGCTCTTTGAGATTTGCTCCAGTCAATCCTGAGCAGGGCATAAAATGAATGTCCTTTTTGGGATTGAAGCCAACCTTTTTCAAAAATGGCACTAGCTTCTCTTTAGGTTCTTCATACCTCTCATTGCTCCAGTTTACTGTTGGATCATTCATCTTATTAATAAGAACAATTAAGTGTTTTACACCTGCTGTCTTTGCCAACATTGCATGTTCTCTGGTTTGTCCTTTTTCAAATCCAGTTTCAAACGCTCCTTTCCTGGCTGAGACCAATACAGCCAAATCAGCTTGAGAGGCACCGCCAATCATATTTGGAACGAAACTCTTATGGCCAGGGGCATCCAGAATTGTGAAATGTTTCTTTTCTGTTTCAAAGTAAGCACGACCCACTTCTACTGTTTTACCCTTGTCTCGTTCTTCCTGATTTGTGTCTAAGGCCCAAGACAAGTACCAAGTTTCTCTGTTTTTTTCCTTAGCTTCTCTTTCATATTTTTCAAGTGTCCTTTTGTCAACCATTCCAGTCAGATACATTATTTGTCCTCCAATGGTTGACGTGCCTGCATCTACATGCCCAATGAATACTACATTTACATGTTCTTTTTTCGGGGCACCTGGTGGGGCAGCCCCGGATTTAGGCTTTGGTATTTCCTCTTCCTCCTTTATCATTTCTTGGGCACTTTCCTCAGGTGGCCTTCCATCTCCCAAGGAACCACTCCCCAGCTCTGCTTCACTTATTTCTTCTTTGTGCTCCCACGATTCTTCTGGGGACATTTCAGTCTCCCCATTTTCTACAACAGGTTCTAAAAGTTCCCTGCTAACAGCTGAATTTGAACATTCACACCCTGACTGTTGCTCTTCAGAGGACTCCACAGGTCCCAAGGGGCCTCCCGCGCCCTTGACCGCTCCGTGGCTGTCGTCGGCTGGGGCGCCGCGTGTGTGGTGAAGAGAGCGCGGGAAATGCAGGTGGGGCGTCCGGCCGGGAGGAGCGGGCCGCGCTGGGCCAGGAACGGCCGGCACCTAGCGACAGGATCTCTGGCGTCGCCGCATTGGTGGCTCCGGTGCGATCTCGGCCCTCGCGAAGGTCGGCGGCGGCGGTGGCAGCAGCGGCGGG